TTCCAGTTGGGTTCGTTCACTTATGCTTTCCTTGGGAAAGATATGAATCCACCTCTTCTCTCCATCTATGGGTTAATTAGTAAGATTTATATCACTAAATTGTTATTATCTCAAAAAAAATCTTACAACCTGATTTTTAATAATTTCTCTGACTTATCAATTGCTGTAGGTAGGGAAAAAAGTAATGGAAAAAAAAAATTATAATCTATGTTAAATTAAAAAGAAATTATATGATAATTTTTTTTTCTGGCCACTGCTGGATCATGACCTTTTAGGTCATCTACACTAATGAAAAATATGGAACACTCATCAGATGGTGCTACCCTCTAACCTGCCCCTACCCATCTTGAATAACATTAGCTTGAAGTAAACTTATTGCCAATTCTTTAAATAAACTAGAATAGCTATCTTTTGTTTTGTCAATTAAACTTATTGCCAATCCTTTAAATAAACAAGAATAGCTATCTTTTGTTTGTCAATAAAAATATTCTTTTGAATAACATTAGCTTCAAGTAAACTTATTGGCAATTCTTTAAATAAACTAGAATAGCTATCTTTTGTTTTGTCAATTAAACTTATTGGCAATTCTTTAAATAAACGAGAATAGCTATCTTTTGTTTGTCAATAAAAATATTCTTTTGAATAACATTAGCTTGAAGTAAACTTATTGCCAATTCTTTAAATAAACTAGAATAACTATCTTTTGTTTTGTCAATTAAACTTATTGCCAATTCTTTAAATAAACGAGAATAGCTATCTTTTGTTTGTCAATAAAAATATTCTTTTAGAAATATCATTATTTTACTATTTATTGCAAAGCAAATAAGCACAAATTTCAACACAACCATAGTAAAAAAAAGATTTTTTTAACCAGCATAATAACAATAAAACAATCAAAATAAATATAAATATGATATCATTTCAGTTTATGAAATTATTTAAAAGTTATAACATCAAGAAAATTTAAATCATTGCTTTATAAAAATTTCTAAGATTTAAACTTTCTGAACTAAAATCAAACGTTATCTACTTGAAATACAATGACACAAACTAAAACATTTTTTTCTTGCTTTGCTTCCTGCAAAGTCAAATAAATATGACTTGTCATAATGATATAATTTCAGTTTATGAAACTATTTAGGAGTCATAACATCTAGAAAATTAAAATAATTGCTTTATAAAAACTTGAAGCAGGAGGCTAGGCTGCAGCCAATACCAGCCTCAAGGATAATCCAGCCCTATTTATGACATTATTTGCCAATATATTTTTTCCAAGTCATCAAGTTATTAGAGGCATGGTGTAATGGATAGCGGCCCAGATTGAGGAATCAGAGAGCTGAGTTCAAATTCCAGTCAAGTTTGTTACATTCACTTATGTGCAAATACCTTCGGGAAAGGCATGAATCCATCTTTACCTTCAGTTATGGGTAAATAATAGGACAAAACTTGTGAGTGGGGATATTTTAGAGCTTTAATTTTTACTTTTTTAATGATCTATATAAATTAGACTGCATTTTTCAATATAGGTAAAAAAATTCATTAAAAAATTACATGTATTTGCTATGGGTATTAAAGAACTAATTTATTAACTTTGATGCAGATGAGAAGACATTGTAAACTTAATTTCAGTGAAGTTTATCTTGGCTTAATTTGACATTTTAATGAAATGGAAAAAAATGACTTTTTAAAAAGTTTGCCATTCATTAAATCCAAATGATTTGATAATTATTTCTTTGGTTATGGCAAAGTTGCTACATTTTTACACATCCCTGTCCTAAGATGGTTTGATGGTTACTTATTTAAATATTATATATTCATTGTCAAGGAGAAACGGGGAAAAACAAAATAGTATATTTTATATCTTATTTGTTCCTAGAAATGGAATATAGAAAAAGAATTAAAAAATTGACAATCCTTAATATACTTAATTTTATGTTTATAAAGATACCTTTCATTTTGTTTGATACCAACTAAAACTTTATACTTGCACACTAATCTAATAAGTTGACCATATTTTGAGATTATCATATATTTGCCATTTAACAACCTATTATACTAAAATTTGATGTTTTTTTCTCTCTCTAATGTAAATTTTAGTGGGTAGCTTTTTTTTCTCAGAGTGAGAAGGATCCAGATCAGGATTTATATCTGGATCTGGATCAGTTCTTTGGAGCTTTTATCCCTGGTATAGTTCATCAAATTATTTAAATTTGGAAATCAAATAAATTAAGCATTGGAAATTTTAAAATGTCATTGATGCAGCAAAGAAAATATTCCATTTTGTATAAATAAAAAAACACGACACAATACACTTAAAAAATTTTAAAATCCGAAATAAATAATTTATTTACTATAAAACCATCATAATAATTATCATATTTACTATAAAACCATCATAATAATTATCATATTTACTATAAAACCATCATAATAATTTATTTACTATAAGACCATCATAAAATTATTTTATTAAAATATTTAATTTTATTATATGCAACTTCTGAAAAGGCAACAACAATATTTTATATAAAATAACATAACATTAGACATAATAATTTTTATCATTAACATTTCCTTCTTCCAAATATTTAATTTAAAAATATTTTATTAATATAATTTTTCTTGTAATCATTTCACCCCAAGCAAGGCAATAAAGCCACTGAGACACAAGGCATTATTGAGTGTGAAAGATTATGAGAAAAAACATTATTAAAGATAGAGAGGACAATAAAAGAACAGGATTCAAGGATACAGAAGATAACAATTGATGCTGCATTTAAAATTTTGAAGATCATAGTTGACTGGATGGTAAGAAGCTGAAGGAGAGTTCCACAAGCTGGAAGTGCAAGAGACTAAACTATTAGAATAGAACTCATGGTTACATCTAGCTATTTCAACAGTAAAATGATGAGACCTAACTGCCAAACTAGTACTGTGCTTAAATTCATGAAGTTGAGGTACCAAAGATGAAAGCTCATCAGAACAATTACCACAAAAATATTCATAGAAAAACTGCACGGAAGCTACGTTATGGCAGTGGAAAAGTGATTGAAGCTGAGATGTCAGATTAGGACTGATAACGTTGCAAATTCTTCTTTGGAGTTTGTCAAGAATCTTTTAGATAAATAGCAAAAGTGCCAGCCCCCATGTGGCAGCAGTATTCAATAAGTTAAAGTATTAGTGATTTAGTAGAAAGACCCATGAAAATTTCATAGTTTTCCTATTTCAATATTCTGATGAATCTTAATTCTTAAGTTAATGATTAAATAGGCTCATGGCGAGCTCTAGAACAATAAAATATCCGTAGAAATGAAACGACATGACACGGCAATACAATATCTGGAGAAATTACCCTATCACATCCATAGATATTTGAGCTTTACAACTTTAACAAAATATTGCAATAAGAATTATAAATATGAATGCTGGTTGTTATTTTAAGAAATGGGTACAAATGGAAGATTTGAAATTCACAACTTTTTCCATTTCACTGAAACAGACGTTTAAGCACTTCTATCTTCTCTTCTTTCTTTCTTTCTCTCTCTCTCTCTCATTTTCTCACTGAAACCAAGTCATGTCTCTGATATGTTATTTCTGTGTTTTCACACTGTCAAAATGGAATAGTCGATTATTAATGGGGTATTGGCAGGGCGTAACAGTCGTGCAAACAAACGAAGGGAGGAACAAGCAGAATTATAATAGGATGATGATGATGATTAGAACAAAATGGAAAAAAATTCTATGTTATGCATTTGAAAAGTCTGATGAATTTTTTCAAAATGGCTTCATCAAACTAAAATAATTTTCTTATTGATGGAATGTAGGGGAGGGGGAGAAAATGTAAACAAAAAATATATTGAAAGGAACACTGAATATGTAAGGATATTGAACTTTAAATTTCTGGCATCTGATTTGTCTAGACCAGTCATGGGCAAGCAGCAGCCTGTTTGGTCTTTCTGAATGGCATGCTTAATTTCATAAGGAAAAGAAGGTTTTTAAGAAACCTTATTTTCCTTATGAAATTAAGTGTGCCATTTTGTTTCGTTTCATTCTCACCTGTTCCCTCACACACTCTCTCATACATAACCACATAAATAAACAATAAGTACAATGTTTCTTGAATTTTGTAAACTTTCAGGAAAATAACATTGTCAGCATTTTAAACCATTGATGATTTTCACTATGGAAGATCATACGTGTAAACCTCTTTTGCTTTTGAAACAGGAAAGTTTTATAAAGGACAGAATTTTTTCTCTAAAAAAGGAATGTTTTCATTTTCAAATGAATAAATTAGAAATAAATCCCATGAAGTAACGTGATAATCACACAATCATTAGTGATAATTTTATACCAAGAATTCAATTTTTAATTATAAAAAATTGTTTTTGGAAAATGAAACTTTCCTATCATTTTTAAGGTATATGCTTACGTATATGGTCTTCTGTAGTGAAAATAGCTGAGGTGCTTACTACAAAAATTACCTTGAATCTTTTTAGTAGTGTGTGCCGTCTTGTGGTGAACCATAGATTGTCCTGCTCACTGCTTTGAAAAGGTTGCCCATTCCTGGTCTAAGAATACAGCTTAGTCACTTTATTCAGTTTTCCAATCTTTTTGTTTTTATTGCTGTTCTTTTCAAATATTCCACATTGGCAACTAGGTCTCTCTGTTTTACTGCTGAACAAGCTAGAAGCAAACGCCACTTCTATTCTACAGTTTCTTTCCTCATACTTCTCACCTGTGGAACTCCCTTCTGATTTCTTGTTTCCCTGCCACCTGCAAATGCAATGTCAGTTGCCATCTTCTGTCTTCCTGAACCTTGTTTCTTTATTGTCCTTTTCTCACTTCTCCTCATTAAAGTCTTATCATTCTCTTTCGTTCACTGTAACCCCTTGTGTCCTAGTGGTATTATTGCCTTGCTTGGGGTGAAATGATTAAACAAAAAAATGATAAAATGCATTACACAGAATTTTTCATTTTGCTATTCAATTATTATTAAGTTTACAGCCATATCACATTAAAACACTTGTTCTCATCCAATCACTGAAGTTAAGCAATGTTGAACCTGGTCAGTACCTAAATGGGTGACCATTTGGGAATATCAGGTGCTGTAAATTTGGATCTGCAGGTGGTGTAATGGATAAAGGCTTGGAATGAGAAATTGGAGAACCAAGTTCGAATTACAGTTTGGTTTGTTATATTCACTTACATGCAAATACTCTTGGGAAAGGTATGAATCTACCTCTTATTCTCCCAGCCATGGATTAAATAGTAAGACTTATATCAGAAAAAAAAATCATTATCTCTGAAAAAATTTTTACAATCTAAAATATGTTATGGCTTTAAATAACCTTAAAAAAAGAAGAGGTTGATAAGCCATAAAAAACAAATGAATTAAAAACAAATATTATTAGTGTGCTATATAGAGTTTATATGACATATTTCTCCCATTAATTATTTTATTAAACATATTCTTAATTCTTGGATTTTAAATCTCTTAGGTAAACTATTTTAGAAATTAAATTGAATGAAGTAATCATTAATCAAGTGTTTATAGTTGATGGATTATCTATATAATCTGCTTGTAATTTCCATTGAACATTGGCCAAGAAGGCTCAAGGATTTGTTTTCACACTTGATTATTTTAGTATTTGTATTGGCATTCACCAGAGTGAATTGATTCAAACAAGCCAATGTCTGCGTTGCTGTATCTCAAATAAGGGCTGGTGGTTGGAAACTTCCAATACAGCTATTGAAACCCACTCTTCTCCTGGTCCCAACAATAAATCCCATATGCTGTCAGGCAATCTGGGGTAGATTTGCTACCAGAGGTAAATTTCAATGAATCTCGGTTTGTATACACCTTTATGCAAATTAATTGAAACAAAATGAATAATTTCATTATTATTTACTTTTTTTGTATTTTCCAATGAAACATGACCCAGTGCACATGATAGTTCTTCATATGTCCATTCCACAATATCGTTTCTTGCAGATTGACCACAGATTCTCAATTGAATTTAAATTAGGAGAGTTTCCAGGCCAGTCTATAGTACTTTGATTTGCACACTAGTAAGGCTTGTCAGTGTGTTTGTGCAGTGTTACAATTTTCGTACTCTTCCTTGGTGTAACATCCATCATAGATACTGGCCATAGACAACTAATTGACAGTCGAGACAATAATGTCTGCATCAGATTTTTATCATGCCTAATCACGGATGATGCAATATTTTTCAAGGCCAAGCAAATTTCATCATACACCCCAAAAATAGATTTATATTACTGCACACCACTGCAAATGACCTAATCTGAGGGAAAATAGAAGTCGATTACACCCTGTCACTTCAGTGGGTCTAAAACTGACTGTATGTCGAAAGAAAGGAAGCTAAAGTGGTTGTTTCAATTAATTTGAACAAGGGTGTATATATATATATATATATATATATATATATATATATATATATATATATATATTTTTTAAAATAATTTGATAATTGACCTTGAGTATTGGCTGCTCATCAACATTTCTTTTTGTGTGTAGTGAGTCCTATGAAAAGAAGAAAAGTCTTTGAACATGAAAGACTTGAATGTGAATTGTTTGAGGTGGTCCATGGGTTGCCACTCCATGGCACACACACTTCAGATGACACCATCTGCTGTGGCAAACCAGGGTTTGAAAAGCAAGTTCATAATGACAGTTTGCATTGGGCCACCAACTTGTTCTCGTACCTAGAATGTTGCCATGACTGCCTACCCATCAGGCGTCAGATTGTGTTTAGTCTGGTCCCTTCCCTGAATGTTTACCACCATGGGTGACCCTATCAGGAGATGGTGTTCCCAACAACATTGTATTCAGGTTCCTTGAGACATGCAAGCTCCTTCACTGACACACTACATAGTATATATATATTATGTATTTTAGAAGTTCAAAAAAATTAATGGTTTTTTAAGTATATAAAAGGCTAGAGAACTCAATCTTCCTTACTATTTTATCCATAACTGAAGAGGCAAGAAAAGATGGATTCTTATCTTTTCTAAGTGCATAGTCCAAAATGAACACAAACTTTCTCAGATATAATTTAAACTTCACTTGCTAGTTTAATTTTTCCCACTGTTAACCGTTAAGCCACCTACACCATCCAATGTCAGTATGTGCTAATTACTAAACATACGACAGAAAATTATTAAGATTACTAATATTAATGGTAAAGTTAACCATTTCCATACAAGAAACATTCAGCATTTTTTTTAATCGTTTCACCCCAGGCAAGGCAACAATGTCACTAGGATGCAGGGGACCACAGGGAGTGAAAGAGCATGAGAAGACTTAAGTGAGGAGAAGGACAATAAAGAAACAGGATTTAAAAAGAGAAGATTGTGATTGAAACATACACTGAATAAATAGAGGAAACAGTTGAAATTTATAAAATCTTTTTCTTAAAACAGTTTATCAAGAAATTAGACTTCTCAAGTCCAGTGACTGTTATCCCTCTCTCTAGTATTGATGGGAGTTTCCTTCCAAACTTTTTGCTTTTTGTTATGCGGAAAGTCAACATCTTGATTATATCATTATTTTCTCTTTTAGCTACATTTGCAGCCCATTTTTGTTGTTGTTGCTGTTGGAAGTCTTCAGTTGATGTAAGGTGTTTTATGTTGTAAAACTTAATGTTTGTGATTTTGTATTGCCAGTCTATAGGGTCTCATAAGGAGGGATGTGTGGGTGGATAGAAGGTTGGAATGACAAATCAAAGCTGATTTCAAATTCCAGTTGGGTTCGTTACATTTACTTGCAAATAATCTTGGGGAAACCATCCCCACCTTTTTATATGGGTCAAATAGTTGGACTTGGAAAAATCATTATCTTCAAAAAATTGTTAACATAATATTCACTCATAAAAAAAAGAAAAGAATTATTCTTATAATCCAAAATATATATTTGGCTTTAAATAACCCACAAAGGGTTGATAAGCCATAAAAAATAAATTAAACCATTTAATATAGTTTCATGGAGGATTGTCTTCTTTAAGATCTAAAGGAGTCTTTTTGCCTGAAGTTATTTTTAAACATTGATCTGAGAAAATGGTTTTATGCTGGTGAGAGTTTAGACAGTTCTGAATCTGTTGGATCTAAATTTATAAATCTATAAATGAAATCTATATGTCAACATAAATAAAAGAGAAAAAGAAACTAAATGAAATATATATACCCAAACATATTTAAAAAAAATTTAAATTTAAAAGGTCAAACTTTCAATGACCCCTCCCCTTCATCCGCTCATATAGTTACATCAACATAAACATCATTCTAGTCTGATGAAGTCCTAAAGGCCGAAACATGTCATGTGAACATTTCTTCTTTTTTTTTGTTATTAATTTTTCTAACATTGTTCTAGTATATAAAAATTTATATATTTTATCCCATGTCATCTATATCAGTGGTCGCCAACCTTTTGAACTTCATGGACTACTAAATGTATAATTTTAAATTTGGCAGACCACTAATATGAATTTAGAAAAAAAAATAGGTAAATATATTTAATAATAATAATCAGAAAACTTTTATTTTATTAATATGAAATGCACCCATTAAAGGTAACAAAGTTATAGTGTAATTATTTAAATAAAACAAATTGAAAAATTCAAGTTTGTAAGTCATGTTAGGTTTTACTATGGTTGGATGATGTCACATTTGTGTACTTGTGTTTATTTCAAGATTACATAAGGTCTTAAACATATATACCATCCATATTATATTTTGTTACTTGTCATTTTTTAATCTGAAACTTCATAAAAATTGAAATAATGTCCCAATTTTTCTGTGGACCATCAAAAATTTTGCACAGTTGCTGACCACTGATCTATATGAAAGTTTAGATCTGATGAGGCCTTTTAAGAACATGACTCGAGTTTTCAAGTCAAAAGATAAGTAAGTTATGACAGAAATTTTCCAAATCATAATGATCAAATTTCAATCAGTTCCCACACTATTGATTTATTTATTTATTTTTTTTTGTTCTTTTCACAGCTGGAAAACTTCTACATGATTTTCCTGAACCAATAAAATTGGTGGAAGACTTGCTGCTACCTTTGGTCTCTGTGAACCCCTCCAGTCAACCAAGTCTTACATTTAAGCCTTGCCAGAAAGCTACAAAATGGAAAGCCATTCTTTGTTTTACAGACCCTGTTCCCTTCAAAGTGATTGGATGTGCACAATGCTATGATAATGCTAAGACTAATGTTTACCTCCAGGCCTGCCAGATGTTTTGGGTATGCAAGGGACATTTTTAATTTAACTTTTTCTTTACTTTTAATCCTTTTTGTTGAGCTGAGACTAGGGCTTCTCAGATTGGTTCATATTGAGCAGTGATTCTTAAACTATGAGTCATGACCTCAAAATGGGTCGCAACTCCAAATGCTGGGGTTGTGAAAATTAAATTCAAACACTTGAATTTCAGTTTATATGTTATTTCACAAATACACAATATTTAACATGATGTGCCATGCAAGTGCTGTGGTAATAAAACATGCATGTAGTGCCGTTGTGATTAGTGCAGTAACAATGCACATATTTTCAGTGTATTTGGTTAATGACTGTGGTCGTGAAAAATCCTGTGATGAAAAATGGGGTCATGAATGAAAAAAGTTTAAGAAGTGCTGATATAGAGGAAGAATGAAATTTTGGCAAGGGTGAATAAAAAATAATGGGACCATTGTGAATTTACTAGTTTGAATTTATTAATCTGTTTATAACAGGAGAACAAAAATTGCTGAATCCTTTAGGCACACATTGTATACCTAGCAGAATTCATAAATGGGTGTGCTGGCCATTTATGATGTACTAGTAGTAGAGCCTGGCGTTGCCCGGGGATATAACAGTAAGAGATAGATCAAGTATCCACCATCATAAAGACTGAAAAATAAAATTGACAAAGATTATTGTTTAAGGTTGATGGACACGCATGTCTTAATTAGTTTTTTTTTTTTTTTTTTTACGAATTGGTCAAACCCAAACTCAAACAAAAACATTGTTTTCAATCGTTATGAGTCTACCGATTGAATAGAATTTTATTATAAACAATTGTCTTGTAAATGGAATTTTTAAAGCATTCTGAATGTAAAAATAAAGAAAAAAGTGTGCAAGAGAATAAGAAACACTACCTGCCAAAAAAAAGTGAAGTTTTGTTGAAATCGGTTGAAAAATGTAGATAGCCTTTCTGTAATCTTTTAGTTTTACAATTTATGATTTTTACATATTGAATACAGTAATAAAAATTGCATATTTTGCTTGTGATGATTCATAATTAGAATTCTGATTTGAATATATTTTCCACTTGTTGTTTCTAATACAAAAAATATTAACTTTATTTGGGTTTATTAATTATGATCTAACAAATCTTATTCATTTAGTAGCCTTTCTGTAATAATAATCTTTTACAATTTATGATTTTTACTTATTGAATACAGTAAAAAAATTGAACACCATGTGTATTTAAAGTAGTTTCCCATTCCAGTTATTATTTTTAGTTAGGACTTGTGTATGTTTAGATTTCATTATCTTTCTCTAAAGATAAAGAATTTATCCGATGTTTGTATTCGTACAATCAGTAGAGATCGTTAGATTATTGTTTAAGGTTGACGGACACGCATGTCTTAATTAGTTTTTTTTTTTATTTTTTACGAATTGGTCAAACCCAAACTCAAACAAAAACATTGTTTTCAACCGTTATGAGTCTACTGATTGAATAGAATTTTATTATAAATAATTGTCTTGTAAATGGAATTTTTAAAGCATTCTGAATGTTAAAAATAAAGAAAAAAAGTGTGCAAGAGAATAAGAAACACTACCTGCCAAAAAAAAAAAAAAGTGAAGTTTTGTTTTATCGGCTGAAAAATATAGGAAATCCGCTCCCATATTTAAAGTAACCCACACACACAAACAACCCAATGTTAGTTGTCCCCCTTCCATTTTCATGATGTCTCTTAATTGTGTTTTCAAATTGATTTTGTGCAAAAAAAATTTATATTTTTCCCATTTTTGGTGCTGTTTGAACCACCACAAAGTAATTTTATGTAGTCCTGTGAAGTTTTGTTGAAATCGGTTGAAAAATGTAGGAAATCCGATCCAATATATAAACGTTACAGACACACACACACACACATCTGCATTTTATAATAAGTAAGATTCTTCCAAATAAATGGGTCTATTGTAGGTTGTTCTGATGATGTGTCATCCTTGTCTAAATGTACTTCGTTATATATATATGTGTGTGTGTGTGTGTGTGTGTAATTTTGTTTGGGGGTTAAAAAGACATTATCAGCCCCATGATAGAAATATATAACTTACAAACATATATACAAATAAAACACAATAAGCATAAACAAAAATGATAAAAAGTTTTTACATACTTTTCACAGAAGATTGTATATTTTAAAGAACATATATGTATACAAAGTTTTTGCATATCTGATTGCAGCCAGATGGTCTGTCAGAACACTGTTCCTGGACATCTGATTCATTTGGCCATCAAAGATGATTAGAGTTAATTTGATTTCTGTTTCAATTAGTGGCAAAAAAATTACTTCCAGTGCATGATGGAAGTTTTCATATTTATTTAACTATTTTTTTTATAACCAGCTTTTTCTTTCTTGGATTGTTAATTATCATTCTTATCTATATTTTAAAGTACTTTTATTACTTCACTTTTAATTTTTCTTTTATTATTAATTATTCTGTTTTCATACTCTTACATAGTCTCTATTACTAAGGGTTAGAGGTTATTTAGTGATTTATTTGTTGTTATCACTAGAGGTCATTTAGATAAATAAATAATCTGGTTCAAACTGGAATGATCTGGATCATTTTTACATTGTTAATGATGCATAAAACCATGACATGATTACCTAGTCGATTAAAATGTTAGTTTTTGGATTTGATGACATAGTAATTCTTAGGTCAGGTCATACAGACTTAGTGTAATCTGGGTAAGTAATAACTGAACAGTACTAAATAAGAACAAGACAAGATATTCCTAGATATGAATAGCAGAATGAGAAAAATTTACCTTTATAGATTAAATAAAGATTTTGGTTCATAATCCCTGAAGGTTACCTGGATCAACATACACCTGAGGAAGGCCAGAGGTCATAACATTCAAAATGTGATAATAATAACAACAAAGATGAGGACATTAGTCCAAATGTAAATAATAACTCCTCATCCCAGAAATTCAAACAGAACTTACGTATAAAATATTTGATTCTTGCATCATACATTTTTTTTAATCAATTCACCCCAAGCAAAACAATAATGTCACTAAGACACAATGGGCTACTGGGAGTGAAAGAGAATCAGAAGACTTTAGAAGAAATTAGAAACTTAATCCTACACAGGAAACAAGGGATAAACCTCTACTCCTGTTCAAAAGATCAGGGAGGTGTGTTAACTGGACAATAGGCATTTCAGGTATTTGTTGGTGTGGGTATTATTGTATGATTTGATATACTGTTTGCTAGCTTTTTCAAGTTTGTACATGATGAAATCTGGTTTAGTTTGTTTAATGGTATATCAACTCCTTATGGGTCATTTAATGCTGAAATTTAATTTTGGGGGGTAGCTTTGATAATTTTCTTTTCAAAAATGTATTGCTGGTAATTTTTCTCTTCCTTTTCCAATAATGTATTGATGTTAATTTTTTTTACTGTGAAATTGTTGGTATTCTTATTACAAAAATTTATTTTTTATACTTTCATAATGTTTTGACCCCAATTTGGGGGTTCACTATTTGCTCATGGCTGGGATCCTAACAGGTGCTACCACCCTGAGTTAGGGTGGGCCTGGGAACAACAGCAATTAAAAGATGGTTCCACACGCTTCAAAACCTCCCAATCAGATGCTTTGCTGCCAGATGTAGTTTAGCATCATACCCAGGATGGGTGAAATCTGGAGTTAGCCATGTGTATTATTTACTAAGTAAATAGAGAAGAACATTGAACATAGTGATTTACAGCTGAAACTCACAAGCCTACAATCTATTAAGACTTTGTGATCCTTGCTATCTTATCAACATTTGCTTTCTTCTACTTATATTTATTATTTTCTTAGGGGTACAGAATTTTATTATGGAAATAAAAATGGCGAGATCAGCTTTACTATTCATGATTAAAAAAAAAAGAAAAATTTAATCAGCCAACCGGTTTTGCTCTCACTCAACAGAGGTGAAATCAGGAGAAGACTAAATATTACAAGATAAAATATAAAATATAAAACATAAGAAGCCTATGATGAAATAAAAACAGAACAATCAGATGGAAATAATGTCAAGCCCTAACAGACATTCACACTGTTTACAGAGGGAGGTCTGTCTGGACCTGACATAGATCATTTCCAATGCCTTCAAATGGAATAAAGAATGAGCATGACTAAGGATGGAGAAAGAGTCAATGCTGAAATTGGTGGCACAGCTTGGATTATTTATAAGGTGTTCAGCGATGACGGAGCCATATGTGTTGTTGATCTTGTTACCAGATTGGAACATACCATTCCTAATTTTTCCGGGTATGTGTTGATTTATTCATGCATCTAACTGTAAGCTAGTTCTACCTAACAGACATTCCCTCTGTAAACAGAGAGAATGTTTGTTAGGGCTTGACATTATTTCCATCTGATTGTTCTGCCTTTATTTCATCACATGTTTCTTATGTTATGAATGGTAAAGCTCATCTTGCTGTTTTTACTTACATTTATATACATTACAAAATTAAACTAAGTACAACTAACTATTAAAGGATGACAAATTTTTGCAAAAGATTTTGATGTCATTCTGGGGTCTTTTCATCCAAAACCGTTTTGCTCATGCTAAGTCTAAAAAAAAACACTATATAAAATTAACTGTTTTTTATCCATATGTTGAATGCGTTTTCAACTTTTCAACAAGAAAAATCTCAATTTAATATTAAAAATTGCCACAAAATATTGTTGATTTATTTAATATGGATTGATCTATTATGATTTGTATTTATTTTCAGTTTTTTAATTGAATTATTCATGTATATTGCATATGACCCATTATTGTACATAATTAGGTTACAATAAAATTTGTATTTTATATAAATACTATCTTATGAAAATTGAGATGTAGTAGATTGGGGAGCCCCATATCGTGCATTCAGTGGGGGGGCACAAGACCCTTGCACTAGTCCAGGTACTAGAAGTGAACTTGCAACTGGTTCAGTTTACTTAATCTTTTTTTTTCTTTTAACCTTTTTCATTAAGATAGATATTTACCAAACTTAGTCTTGTGAATGGCCAATTTAGTCCTAGGAAGATTGTGCTACCCCAGTCTTCCAAATAGGAAAATCAGAACCTGAAAATTAATATTCAAACTCCTTGCTTTTACTTAGGTTTGAACCCTGGTCACTGGCACCAAAGCTGAACTTGCAAATCAGTTATAAAGGAGACTTGGTGAAATATACAGATATTTTATACTATGTATCTGTTGTGTCGGAAACCTACCACCCCTCTTGAAGATGAACTTGTCTGCGAACAAAGACTTTAAATAGTGGCATGTCAAAAGAGGGAGAGAGACAGAGAAGTTCTTAGCTGAGCTAGTTATTGACTACTCAGGCGATTTCTGTACATTTTTACCAACCTATTAAAACCCTTTTATTTGTTATGTGTTATTTGGCGTTTGTCTCTACTAACCCCAAATCAACATCATAACAGTATCTATTGCAGATTTTACAATTACTTGGATGTATTGAGGAGTTAGAGAGCTCCAGTCTTCCAAATGAGGAGAACCTACCTTCTGCAAAAATCAGCATCTAACATTCTGGTTTTGACTTATGACATAACTATTTACTCCTGTCTAAGTCTAATAAGTCTGTTCAGTTTGGTAAGGTCAAATTGGTAGCTGATCTAAAAAAATGACCTATGATCTGGTATTAACTGGGGAAGGGAGTGGCTTGTTAATTTTAATGCCTCCAAAAAGAAACTGTTCTCTTTCTTGGAGGCTAGTATCAGCCATGCTGATTGGAAGCAGTACCAACATCAGTTAGTGTTCGGGCTATTTTTTTAATCACTTCATTTTAAGAAAGGCAATATATCCACTAAGATGCAAGGGGTTCCTGAGCATGAATAAGAAAAAATACTATTAAAGAAGAGGACAATAAAAGAACAAGAATTAAGAATTTTGAAGTTCAAACTTGACTGGGAAGCAAGAAGCTAGAAAAGAGTTCCACAAGCAAGAAGTGTGATAGAAGAAACTGTTAGCATAGAACTTATGGTTACATCTAGCAACTTTACCAGTAAGTGGATGATGAGATCTAGCTGCCAATCAAGTACTGTACTTAAAATTGTAAAGTTGAGGTACCAAAGAGGAAAACTTATTGGAACAATTACCATGAAAGTTTTTATAGAAAAGGCACAGGGAAGCTATGTTACAGCTATGAAAAAGTGACTGAAGCTGAGATGCCAGGTTAGGACTGATAACATTGCAGGTTCTTCTTTGGATTTTGTCAAGAATCTTTGGATAAATAGCAGAAGTACCAGACCAGATGTGGCAGCAATATTCAAAGCATGAAAAAAATAGTAGACTTCTAATAACTAATTAGTAAAAATAGGTAATTTCATTTATTTTTTGAGTTTTATGCAATTCATTTGAATCTATAAGTTAATACAACACTATTAAAATCCGTTTGTTACTTGTGCTTGAAAAAAATTACAGGTTTTGTTTTTTTGTCTTTTACAAAAGGAAATAGCGAGGAACAAAATCAATATCTATGGCTTGCATGATCTTATTCTAACCACTGTTACAATTGGAAACTATTGAGGTTTGAGAAATTTATCTTGTCATCTAATAAATATTTTTTTATATTTCAGTTCCTTGGTTTAGTGCGCAAATCCAGCCAGAAAATTGCTCCTGCTAAGGAAACTGTGCAAAGCTTGATTGCCAAATTATCCAGGGATAATTTCAATATTTTCAAATGTTTTCAGATCACTTTTGATCAATTAAATGTCAATGGTCAGAAAAAATGGCAATCAACTTTGGAAATTTTCTGGCCTCATAACATTAGAGTGTCAGCCATTTGTGATACTCCACCTGGGGCTGAATACAAATGTCATTTGCTGACCATCATCAAACTGAAAGTAAGTTCCATCAGATTTTTATTTATTGCTTTGATTAGAAAAAAGAAGGAAAACCTGGAACTTAAAACTAGCCTGAAAAGGGACGGGCTCATCTGGCTCAGTCCCAGTCTGTCTTGCCTTAAAGTTAGAATGCTGCGTTCATTCATCCAAATTTGCTCTTGTGTGTAAACCTCAATTCTTAGTTTGTGAATATTTTGCCTTATTACTGTTGCTTTGCCTTATTACTGTTAATTTACCTTGCATATATTGTTTGCTTGCTTTCAATTATTTTTGCTTTGTTCTTTTTGTTTATTGCAAACATTGTCAATTCTGTTTGTTGCACAAGTCTCTCATTTATTTTACATTTAACCACGGTCGCAAAATTACTGATGTATATTTCTCTATTTCTTGTCTGTCCAAATTGCGACAACACACACACACACACATACACGCATGGCATCAGAACATTTTTTTCACTCTGGCAGATTTTTTTGAACCCAATTATTTTTTAAAAACTTCATTTCATATTGTAATGAACAAAAAATGAATTCAAGATTGAAAGTTAGGAAGTTGAAGCAAAAAGATATTCTTTGAGAAACAAAATTGGTCGAGATTTTTAAGATTATTTATCTGTTTTGCCTGAGCCATCCTATTAGAAATATTTCCTTTTGACCTTATTGGGCTTGAATTTTTGGGTCCTCTAATCATTTTTCTCATTTGCTAGCCATGATAATTTTTTCTTTGTGTAACATTCTTATGAACAGTTTTAGCAAAGTTTATTTTAGTCAACATTTCTGATGTTATGAATTTATGAAGTTGAAACTATAAAAAAATCATAAATTAAAACAATTTCAGATTATTTTATTCTTGGTGGTTTGTCTTTGGGTCCAACTGAAATCAAGGATGAACAATATGTTAAAGATTTTTGTTGCTTTAAAACAAACTTAGTTGTTGGACAACTTGAGCACAACCTGAGCCTGACGAGCACAACCATTGGTTACAGGACTCATGATGTGGCATCATGATGATGATGATATAATAATTTTCATATAATTAAACAAAGGAAGCAACTCTGTAATTAGGCTAACTCCAACAACATTTTAGATTTGAAATTAACTTTACTTGTCATACTAATCCCTAATCAGTCTTAAAGTTAAATGATTTCTGAATAGACATGCTTGAAATTTAGAAAAATTGTTTTTTGTAATAAAGTCTGGAAATGTTCATAATGGAAGAGAAAAAGAAATTTTTGTATCAAATAATGATAACTATACATACATACAGTATTTACATTAGTCGGACTATTGTCCTCATCTTTGTCACAATGTTTCGGCTGTTGTACGCTCCGGCCTTCTTCAGGTGGTTGGAATTTCAAACTGAACCCTTTATTTCGATCATTGGGGTAGACTGTTCTAGTTCCACGTGCCATGTTTGATGGATGTCAGTTATCAGTTATCTCCTGCTAATTTTCCCTCTGAAAGTTCTCAACTGCCTTAACCAGGTATTGAACTCACCTCACTGGATCTAACCAACGCCTTTATCCACTGTGCCATGTGTCCTTGAGGACATCTGGGTATGAACTTCTGAGTATTATAAACCTAATGTTTTCAGCATCATTTTTACCAGTGCTCATATTGCAATTTTGCTGTTATCATTGCATGTCTTTACCAGAGTTCATATTGCAACTTTGTTATCATTGCTTTTCTCTGGCACTCCTTATTACTGGGTCCCATATTGTATTTATTTCTATGCTTGGTCGGCTCAGGAGATTTTTGTGGCCTAGCCAATATCAGCTGAGTGCCTATGATGAGTCAGTGTTGAATAAGGGTCTCAACTTCACGACAACCATCAGGCGGGTGCCATACTTGGACATCATTGCCAGAGTAGAGGAGGTGGCCTTCAACATCCCTCAGGCTCAGGCGGATGAAATGAGATGGAAAGTGAGACAGGCCTTGGAGAGAGCCAAGCTGCCCAGGTCTAACATAACAAAACTGGAGAGAATGGCGATTGAATCACTACAGAGGAACGAAAACATCATCATACTACCGGCTGACAAAGGTAATGCGACTGTAGTGATGGACAAATCGGATTATACAAAAAAAATGGAAGACCTCATTAGCAATGGTAGCTACAGCATAGGGAAGAAGGATCCTACTATGAAAACGGAATGCAAACTGTCACAGATCCTAATCAAGAACAAGGATCACTTCGCACCCAAGACGTATAGGCAGTTATCGCAGCGTTACACCAAGTTACCTCACATATACGGTCTCCCTAAGATTCACAAAGACGGTATTCCACTCAGGCCGATTGTTAGTTGCCAAGGCTCTGCGTGCCACCCTCTGAGTCGCTTCCTTGTAGATATAATCGACCCATTGATCGGAAAGTCCCCTTCATATGTCCGAAACTCTGCCCACTTCGTGGAAATAATCAAAGATGCTCCCATCCTATCCAACCAGATGGTGAGCTTGGACGTGGTGAGTCTGTTCACCAAGGTACCTACGGAGGAGGCACTCTCAGTAGTCAGAGATAGATTGACCTCTGACTCTTCCCTAGAGGAGCGGACCAGTATTCCAATAGATAATCTGATGGAGATGTTGACTTTCTGTACACAAACAACACACTTCGGAATGGGATCACACATATATCGACAGGATGAGGGCTTAGCAATGGGCTCGCCATTATCATCAGCAATGGCGAATATATACATGGAATACTTTGAAGAAATGGCATTAGAGTCTATATTGCTAAAGCCAACTATATGGTTAAGGTACGTAGATGACACCTTCATACTCTGGCCACATCAGGAAGATGTCCAGGTTCTACTGGACCATGTGAACTCAATAAGACCTTCGATACAGTTCACAATGGAGAAAGAGAGTAACAACTCACTCCCATTCCTGGATGTACTAATATCTCGAACAGAGCATGGGTTCAAGACATCCGTATACCGTAAACCAACATTCACCGGACAGTACCTCAATTTCGATTCCCACCATCCATACAGCGTAAAGAAAGGGATCGTCCGATGCTTACAACCCCGAGCAAAAGTCATAAGTGGCGATCCAGAGACGTTAGATAAGGAATTGGTCAGTATAAGTAGTACCCTACAACGTAACAACTACCCTGGGTACATGGTAGCAGCCCCCAAAAACTGGGATAGGCGGATACAAGAGGAGGAGGAGGAGGACAACAACACTCAGAAAACAGTCTGCCTGCCTTATGTGAAGGGGTTATCAGAGAAAATACAAAGGATCTGCGGTCCATATAACATCAGGACAACCTTCAAAAGCGTGACAACACTTCGCAGATATCTCTCACGAGTGAGACCCCCCACAGAGAGGAACATGACTAAAGTCTGTGTGTACGCTATCCCGTGCAGCTGCGGAAAGGAATATAAAGGAGAGACAGGCCGCCCCCTCAAGGTAAGGCTTCAAGAACACCAGAAAGCTGTAACGCGAGGGGAAGTAGAAAAAATCAGGCGTGGCTGACCAAATATGGAGAGAGAAGGGAGATCACCGCCCCCTGTGGGATCATGTTGAGATCATCGACAGGGAACACCATTGGAAAATTCATAAACTTAAGGAATCAGCACATATGCTAGGCCACAAAAATCTCCTGAGCCGACCAAGCATAGAAATAAATACAATATGGGACCCAGTAATAAGGAGTGCCAGAGAAAAGCAATGATAACAAAGTTGCAATATGAACTCTGGTAAAGACATGCAATGATAACAGCAAAATTGCAATATGAGCACTGGTAAAAATGATGCTGAAAACATTAGGTTTATAATACTCAGAAGTTCATACCCAGATGTCCTCAAGGACACATGTCACAGTGGATAAAGGCGTTGGTTAGATCCAGTGACAGACCCAAAGAAGGTGAGTTCAATACCTGGTTAAGGCAGTTGAGAACTTTCAGAGGGAAAATTAGCAGGAGATAACTGATAACTGACATCCATCAAACATGGCACGTGGAACTAGAACAGTCTACCCCAGTGATCGAAATAAAGGGTTCAGTTTGAAATTCCAACCACCTGAAGAAGGCCGGAGCGTACAACGGCCAAAACATTGTGACAAATATGGCGACAAAGATGAGGACAATAGTCCGACTAATGTAAATACTGTACATAATACCTCATCTCAGAAATATAGACATATACATACATACATACATACATACATAGCAGTGTATTTTTTCTTGAAGCAGGACTGAGATTAATCTTGCACAATGTCAGTCCTGCTTGCTTGACAGAGGACTTGTCACAATGGTTTGAGCCAAAGTTTTACAACACCAGATGCATTTGCTGATACCCAATTCCGACACTCACAGTAGTCCAAGTACACAGAGGAAGAGTGTTTTTTATCGAGTCACCATCGCTAGGAAGGTGATCATTCAAGGCTTGAGACCCCTTCCTAGCCTTAAAGGAAGAGGTTATAGTTGTTCCAATGAGAGAAAAGCATATTTTTTAAAGAGAAAAGAGAAGCCTTATATTTTATTTTCCATTTTAAAATATGGAAAATAAAGTATAATATATATTTAAAAAATCCACATTAAAACAGCATAATTATATATAAGGATTTTTGTTTGTTTTTCCGTATATATTTTTCATACTGTCGGATCTATATCTATATATTTGCTTACATATATACATACATATATATATATATATATATATATATATATATATATATATATATATATATATATATATAAGTGAACATAGAAGTCAATACTTAGAGGTGAGTCTGTTTCAACATATAAGTGTCTTTTCAGTTCTGTTTTTATGCTTATGTTTCGTATGAAAGATAAACATGAAAAACAAGTCCACACGAGAGACATGCTGAAGAGTTGACCGTCATATGGGCTGATATATTGGCTCGAGATTTAGTGTTGGTTCTTAATTCTTTCAGATGGTTGACGACGATTCTTTTTAAAGTTAGTTATACCTCGGTAGCAGGTGTTTCTCAAGTTAGCTCAGTTCTCAACAGCAAGTTTGAACTCCGCTATAGGGATGTTTGCAACATTTAAATTGTATATTTAAATTCATATATATATATATATATATATATATATATATATATTTTTCTTTTGAATGTTGATATAATTTCCTTTTCGACTTCTATTATAACAAACACACAAACATATACAAAACTTGAATCATAGGGAACTATTATTAATTTCTGTCTGAATTTCTGGGATGACAAATTATTTTTATTTGCACTATTTATGTTTGGACTATTGTCCACATCTTTATTGTTATCATAACATTTTGTCCATTGTGCTCTCCAGCCTTCCTCAGGTGTATGAAGTGTCTGGGTAACCTACAACGAATTCTGAATCAAACCCTTTATTTAATCTATGGTGGTAGAGTGTTCTCGTTCCATGTCTTCATATTTTATTTAGTACTGTTCAGTTATTGCTCACCCTGTTTCCATTGAGTGACACACTGCTTGACCCAGGGATTAAATTCACAATCACTATTTCAGGAAATTCATGAACCAGTGCTACTGCCTATCATGTTATGACTGCTGCTGCTGCCTGTCACTATTATTAAGTTGCAAATTAAACTGAAAAAATAGCTTTATTCTTCCTCTTATATTTTAATGGTATTGCCCTAACAAAATCTTACTATGTTGTGTTTTTTTTTCTGTTATGGTAACAAACAAATATATGTAAACAGAAGTTGCATGTGTTGCAGGCCGGTGTAGGCATTGAGAGATAAACATGTGTGTCTCCTGAAATGCCCACAGCCAACATAGCAGACTCAGGATATGAGTCCACATAAAAACATAAAAGAAACAAAAAGGACCAATATATATGTGTACAAACAAATGATAATGCATTAACAATAAAGGGTTACATAAACAACAGAATATTGTTGCATGTTACTGAACAATGAACATGAATAGAGAAAACATTTAAGCTAGTGAATTGTTTGCATATGTGTAGTTTGGTGTAGGGGAAAGTCCTAGAAAAAATGAAGTGAAAGGTGCATACATACATGTGTGTGTGTATTGTTTATGCATTTTCCAAAAGGGAACATGTTCTTCTGCAAGAGACTTATATGTTGACATGTAAGCAAGAAAAATAATGAGAAGAGAGCAAGAAAAAATATTGTCGAGTATTTATAATCCTTAAAGCGTCCCCTAGTAGTGGTTTCGAAAATTAGGAGGAGGTAACTCAACACATGATTATAATTTTGTCTTGATACTTCATGGATAAAATAGTATTTTTGTTACAATTTTTTTATATTGCTTAATTATTATCACAGCTCAAAAATTATTTAATTTTTTTCTTTCTCTTTTTTTAAACAGCGGTTGGGATTCCTGAATGCAAGTAATGATGACATCAAGCCATATTCCTTGATTAAACTCCCTGTGGCTTTGAATAATAATACATTTGACTACCATATCTATTTTGATGCATCCAAAATTGGCTTTGGTGCATATTTGTTTTCTCCTGACAATTCTGATGTGAATTGGTTTCATGAACACTGGCCAGATTTCATAAACCAAGAACTCAAAGAAAACACATTTAAAGACTCAACATTCATGGAACTTTATGCAATGGTGGCAGCACTGTACACATGGAAGCACAAATTTACTGATCAGTCAGTGTTATGTTACTCGGACAATTTGGCTGTAGTTTCCCTGGTCCATAATGGGCTGTCCTTAATCAAGAAAAAATTTCGTTATCAAAAACTGTTTAAGATTCTTAAAGGCATAACCCACACTTATCACATTTTGTTGGGTGCAAAGCATATCCAACGAGAGAATAATACAGCTGCAGATTTCCTGTCAAGAAGTGAGGTAGAAGAATTTCGTAAAATTGTGCCAAACACCAGAGAACATGCAAAGAAACCTAAGAAATTATTGTTTTGTTTACCATTAAAATAACTATCATCGAATTTTTTTTTTTTCATAAAAAATTTTTGAAAAAAATATCTGTGTGATTTTTTTTTTTTAAATTTGCTGTGATGAAAAGAAATTTCACAGTTAACAAATTGTCAGTTAATCTTTATAATTCTGTATGTGACTTCATTTGCTGTTCAAAAAGTTTATCCTGACACTGTAGGTGATTCTGATCCCTGAAAATTAGTGCGCTTGAATTTTGTAGTTGTCTTGTCATATCCTTTTATGGCAACAGAAAACAACTTTGAGTAAAATTAACAATGAGGATACTGCAATTGAGAGGCCTTGAAAAAGAATGCATTGGAAAGTAATATTAATAATGCAGTGAGCTAAAGGTTAAATACAGTTTTGATTTGACATGATTAGCTTACATTTTGCAATAACTTCACTGCCAACTACAAAAAAAGAGAGAAAAGATTTTGATTCAAAATTTTTTCTTTTCATTTCTAAAAAACTTCTAACTTCCCAGTAAATTAGAAGTTTCTGCCAGGATTCATTATTGGCAATCATAATCTTAACATTAGATATACAGGTGACACAATATTGATAGCAGATACAGAAAGGTAACCAGATGAACCCCTACAAAAGGTAGTAAAGGAAAGCAAGAAGAAAAGACTAGGTGTCAAATTGTAAGAAGATAGAATGTATGGTTGTCAGCAAAAGGTATAGTCCAAGATGCAAATTTTGAATTGGAAGCACCAAAATCAAGCAAATACAAAAATGTGACTATATCTAAGAAATGTTTTAACAGAGGAAGGAAATTGTGACACTGAAATCTGAAACTGCATTGAAATAGTGAAAACTATTGAAAGTATTAAAAACAAGAAAATTTTGTTTAAACAAAGAAAAGCATATTGAACTGTTATAAAACGTCAGTCCTTCTATAGGGCAGTGAATGCTGGACAATCTTGTCATAGACAATGAAGAAACTTAAAGCAACAGAAATGTGGTTCTCCAGAAGAATTCTAGCAGAAGATGGATTGAAAATGTGAGTAATGAGGAAAGATAGCTGAAATTTCTGGGACACATAATAAGGAAAAAGGGCTTGGAAAATTTGACACTCACAGGACAGACTGAAGGCAAGAGAGACAGAGGAAAGCAACACTTAACCTATCCAATGATCTTATGTAAATGGTTGGCAGAACAAGGATTAGGAAGGATAGCATAAAGACAAACCATATTAAGAGCTACAAAGGGGAGGAAGCTGTAGAGAGCTATAGTCGCCCACATCCTGAAGAGACATAGCATATAGAAGAAAAAAAAAACCTCTTAGTGCAAAATACAATGTTTGTAATCCTGGCCTCAAACCTTTTAGGCATGAAGGTCTTTTTTGTTTTTTTCAATAAAGACACCAAAATGCAAGTGAGAGTGAAAGAAATTGTGAAAAATAAAAAGAGGATTCAAGAAGACAGAAGATAACAATTGACATTGCATTTAAATTTTGGAATATTGCATTTATTTACACTATTTACATTGTTCGGACTATCATCCTAATCTTTGTTGCCATATTTATTACAATGTTTCGGCTGTTGTACCCTCCAACCTTCTTCAGGTGGTTGGAAAGTCGAACTGAAAGAAGGCCGGTGTGTACAACAGCTGAAATGTTGTAATAAATATGGCGATAAAGATGAGGACAATAGTCTGAATAATGTAAATAGTGATTTCCTTTTGCCTTCTTCATGGTTTACAAATTCAGAATAGGCGTTCTCTTAGATTGGCTACTATTTAACAAATTACCTGAAGACTTCTTTTGAATTTGCCTTGTTAAGAAAGCTTCATTTCTTTCCTTTAGTTCTTCAAATGCTTCAAGAGAATAATACTTGATAGAATAAATGGTAAATAAGGCAGAATCTCATTTTCCAGTTTATTTTCATCTATTTTTTGTTAGTAGCTGTTGTTTTACAGGCTGGATTTATTAAACAAATATGTTAAAACTTTTAAATTCTTTTTTAATCATAACATGTTTAATGAAATCAGGGTGCAGATTAAATGATAATAACACAAGAAAACTAATGAAGAACACATAACTTCTTTTGTATTTAACTTTATATTTTATTTCACTCCAATACTTTGTCAGTTGCATGTGGCCAGTGTGGAGCACAGAGCCCTAATTCGGTATATGGACCTTGCTTTCTCATCCTGTATGAAAAATAATAAAAAAAAACTATTAATGTATATTTTTCTGTGTCCAGTTAAAAGAGATTAGGGAGAATGGAAATCAAGTGACAACAAGACACACTTTAAAAAAAAATGACGAGATACTCAGTGGGATATAAAGCCAAAACAGTTTTATTAAAGTAAAAGCAAATTACCAAATATTAGGGATGCTCAAATTTGGTAGTTTGTGCACCTGGAAAGAGGATAATAAATTCCTTTTAAAAATAGATTATTTTTCTAAAATAAGTCTCAATGGTAGTTGTGGGAAAAAAGAATCAAGTCTACAATCAAATTGAATCAAATAACATAAAATATCACAATACAAATGCCAGTGTATACAAAACAATACAAATTACAAGAAGGTACAATAAAAGGATTTCAGTGAAGTTGAACCAAGTTAAAAGGGTATATTTACCTAGAAGTTATGAAATGTGAATGCTCTTAATAGTTCTTGTGATTTGAGGTGAGTTGTTGAAGTTTGTGACAGAATCCGTTTGCCCCTTCAGAGTCTTCAATGTAGAGTGTTGTTTTGAGAGCAGTACTTGTTTTCTGTCATGGAACCGACTATTTTGTTACAATAGACAGGATGAAAATAAATATTAATTTTGAAAATCATTCAAATAATAAAATAAATAATGAAAATAAAACTTTAAAAGGACGGGTGAGGCTCAGTGAAATATAAAACCAAAAAAATTTAATTGAAATAAAAGCAAATTTTACTAGGGATGCACAAATTTGGTGGTTTGTGCATCTGGAAAAGGGGGATAATATATTTCTAGACAAGTAACTTATTTTTTTTCTAAAATAAGTCTCAAGGTAGTTGTGGGAAAAAAATCAAGTCTACAATCAAATTGAATCAAATAACATAAAATATCAAAAGAGAAATGCCAGCATATACAAAACAATACAAATTACAAGTAAGAAGGTAAAATAAAAGGATTTCAGTGAGATCAAACCAAGTTAAAAGGGTATATTTACCTTGAAGGTACAAAATGTGAATGCTCTTAATAGTTCTTGTGATTTGATGTGAGTTGTTGAAGTTCATGACAATCCTTTTGTGCCTTCAGAGTCTTCAACATAAAGTGTTGCTTTGAGAGCAGTACTTGTCTGTCGTGGAAACGATTATTTTGTTACAATAGACGGAGTGAAAATAAGATTTAATTCTGTTAGGAAAATGACAATTTGGTTGTCAAGACTTTGTTTCTTTGAGTTTACACTTGGTCAGGTTTTCAGATGTTTTGGAAGGCGTTGTGTTTCCCATTCCTGTTGATGGTCATATTGTCAGGATTTTTATAGCCAAAGGTCAGCTCCAATTTACCTGAAAAATTCTGGCGGTCAACACAAGCCATTGGTTGAAAAATCACATTTATCAAAACAATTTATTGTAGTAGAAAAAACATCTCAGTTTTTCTTTCCCTTTTCTTCACCTTCAATTGACTCCCCCCAGCCTGCACCCCTTGGTCAAGGAGCTTTACACGTAGGCTGGCAAGGTTCATGTTTCAGTAATTATTTTATTACCTCATCTTTTACCCCCTAAGCTACTGAGAGCCAAAATTTACTCAGAGAGAAAAATAAAATAATTTTTAACACCTGCAATGTTCGCTGATAGACTGTCCTCCCTGGAGCAACTGTTTATATCTAGATCTTCTATGTTTGTTGTTCTTCCACTTCCAAAGCCAGATGTAGCTGTGAGGTATTGTGATTCTGCATTCAACAGCCTCTTTGGTAGCTTTGTTTCAATTTGAGTGCCATGTATATTCTAGCACCATAGTACATAGCAACACAGCAAATTCTGGCAGTAGAAGAAAAGAGGGACTGAAATAATAATAATAATAATATTAATAATAATAATGGTTGTATTTTAATACTAATAGTAATGCTGAGATCCAAAGACATATTAGGATGACTAAAGATGCATTCCAAAAACTAGGCAGAGTATTACGAGACAAGGGGGTTTCGTTGGTAACAAAGAAAAGAGTACTAAACTGCTATGTGATATCTGTCCTCCTTTATGGCAGTGAATATTGGATGGTCTCCTCAAAGATAAAGAAGAGACTCGAGGCAGCAGAGGTGTGGTTCTACAGAAGGATACTGAGGATACCATGGACAGTACATGTGACCAACAATGAGGTTTTGGAGAGGATGCAAACAAAAAGGAAACTCATACTTAAACATCAGGAAGAGGCGGCTGAAATTTCTGATGAGAAAGGAGGGCTTGGAAAATCTGATACTCACAGGGCAGATAGAGGGAAAGAGGGACAAGGGAAAGCAATGCATGACATATTTAATGAGCTTAAGCAAGTTGATGGCAGAACAGGGTCTGGGAGAAATAACAAAAAGTCAAAGCTTATTGAGAGCTACAAGGGAGAGGAGGATATGGAGAGCCATGATCACCTACATCCTGA